GCGGCTGATGACTGTTCGCCTGCGACTCGGAAGAGGTAAGTTTGCTACTTTTATAAGCACGTACGGTCCGACCATGTGTTATCCTGATGACACGCGTGATCAGTTCTACACTGAGCTATCCTCCGTGATACGGTCTGTGCCGAGGAGCGACCGACTATTTCTGCTGGGTGATTTCAATGCGCGCGTTGGGCGTGATGCATCAGCGTGGACAGATGTTATCGGTGCGCATGGCATTGGTTCAGCGAATGCGAACGGTGACAGGCTGCTCTCACTGTGTGCCTCTCACGGCCTGACGATCACGAACACTCGGTTTGCACTGAGTGCGAGTGATATAGCAACTTGGACGCACCCACGGAGTGGTCACGCTCACCTGCTCGACTATGTCATCGTACGTCAGCGTGATATGCGTGAAGTGCGCATGACACGTGTACTGCGTGGAGCTGAGTGTGGCACTGATCACAAATTGGTTCGGACCAAACTGTACATATATTTTCGTAAATCAATGTATTGCACTCCCGCCGTGAATCGGCGTAAATTTAACATTCTCTCCCTCGGCACTGTGGCGAAACGTGCTGAGCTGGAGAAGGCGATGGCTGCACGCCTGTGTGGTGATGTGGACTGTATAGCCACAGTGGGCGACCTGTGGCACCACATTCGCGACCAGGTGACAGCTGCTGCAGAGGAGACCATCGGGCGCGCAAACTGTAAGCGGCCTGATTGGTTTGATGACAACAATGTGACGATTGACGCATTGGTGTCAGAGAAGAATGCAGCATTTGCTGCACATGTGGCAGACCCCAGTGACTTGGGGAAGAGTAGTCAGTTTCGCAAACTTCGACGGCGACTGACCCGAGAGCTCCGTCGCATTAAAAATGCATGGTGGACGGAGAAGGCGAAGCAGATGGAATGCTACGCCGAACGCCGTCAACACAAGGAATTCTTTGACTCCTTGAAGGCGGTGTATGGACCGAGATTGGAGCCGCTGAGGACACTGATCGATGGTAGTTCAGGCGCTACCTGCACCCAGACTGCAGACATAATGCAGGTCTGGCGGAAACACTTTGACTGTCTCTTGAACAACCGTTCAGAGATCGACTGGCCTACATTGAATGGCCTGAAGCAGCACGATGTGAAGGCGGATCTGGCGGATACGCCGAGACTGGATGAGACGCAGAGAGCACTTGCTCAGCTGCGAAACGGCAAATGTGCCGGAGGTGACGGGATCCCACCTGAAGTATTGAAACACGGTGGACCCGCGTTGTTGACTGCGCTGCACCACTTGGTGCAACGCGTGTGGATTGAGGAGGAAGTGCCTTCTGAGCTGAAGGATGCCCTTGTGCTACCACTGTACAAGGGCAAAGGTAGCAAGCAATGTTGCACGAATTATCGTGGCATCAACTTGCTGAGTTGTGTGGGCAAGGTGATTGCCCGAATCCTGCTCAATCGCCTCGTGAGTCAGATTGTGGAACCAAACGTGGCGGAAGAGCAATGTGGATTCCGTTCGGGTCGCAGCACTATAGATATGGTGTTTGCGGCTCGTCAGTTGCAAGAGAAGTGCAGAGAACGACACCAGCCTTTGTACTCGCTTTTTGTTGATTTCACCAAGGCATTTGATACGGTGAACCGCGAGGCACTGTGGCTGGTGTTGGGTAAGTTTGGTTGCCCGCGTAAGTTTGTATGTTTAATTGAATGTCTGCACAGTGGTATGCGAGCGAGGGTGCAGCTGAGTGGAGAGACCTCTGATGACTTTGCAGTTGTCTCTGGTGTGAAGCAAGGCTGTGTCTTAGCTCCTGCCCTGTTTAATATCTATCTTCATGCAATGTTGTCTTGTGCTTTTGATGCGGCTTGTGCTTACGGTGTTCGTGTGGAGCACCGTATTGATGGTGGGTTGCTGAACATCCGTCGTTTCGGTGCGAGAACTCTAGTCTGTGAGACAACTATCCGTATGTTGCTGTTTGCTGACGACTGTGCGTTGTTTTCACACAGCGCGAATGAGTTGCAGCACATGACTAGTGCTCTGGCTTCGACAGCGGCCAAATTCGGGCTCACCATCAACACAAGCAAAACTGTCTGTCTCTTTCAGCCTTCACCGGAGGTGCAATCTTCAATATTGCCGGAAATCAGCATTGGTGCTGAAGTATTGGAAACCACCTCCCGCTTCTGCTACCTTGGGAGTGTGATGTCGACTGATCAGCAGCTACACGTTGAGTTGCGTAATCGCGTGTCGAAGGCGGCAGCGGCATTCGGGAAGCTTGAGTACCGAGTGTGGAACAACCATCAGCTTAGCATTGGCACGAAGCTGATGGTGTACAAATCCATGGTACTGTCCGTTCTTCTATACGGCAGTGAAACGTGGACGATGTACCGTCGGGATGTGCGATATCTCGAGCGGTTCCATCAGCAGTGTGTGCGACGAATTTTGCGGATCGGCTGGGGCGCCAGAGTTGCAGACACGGAAGTGTTGCGCCGAAGTGGGATGTATGCAGTGGACGGCATACTTTTACTGCGACACCTGAGATGGCTCGGTCATGTGAGCCGTATGGATTCGACGCGAATACCGAAACAACTTTTATACGGTCAGCTGAGTATAGGGAAGCGGCATGCTGGGAAACCCAAGTTACGTTACCAGGACATGATTAAAGTGAGCCTCACACGTTCTAATCTTGATTGCAGATCATGGGAATCGAAGGCGGTTGATCGTGGTGCATGGCGCGATCTAATCACGAAGGCAGTTGCTGAAGTGCGGGAGAAATCCCTCATGCATGCAGAGAAGAAGCGGCAAGTGCGGAAGCGGCAAGCACCGATGAATTGTACTCCATCGACATCGAGCGCATTGTGCTGTAGAACATGCGGTCGCGAGTGCCTTAGTCAGGCAGGCCTAGTGAGCCATGAGAGAGGTCACTCGGGACCACTGCCGAAGCGCCGACGGGTCCCGCAGTGAACGTAGGCAGCACCGGCGCAGCGTTTGTAGGCACGCTGAATTCGATTTACTAACCGCGTGCTTGCATGCTAAGTCTCTTTTTTTCAGGTGGTGGGTTTTCGGTTCTCTCCTAATGCCTTTCTTTCTTTCTCATATAAATCTCTAGTGGATAAATGTCTAGTGGGCAATGTGCTGTGCCATTTGGGGCCGCTACAGAAACGACGACGGGTCCTGCAGAGAATTACGACGAGCCGGCGCAGCGTTTGTAGGCACGCTGATTTCGATTTACTAACCGAGTGCTTGCATGCTAAGTCTCTTTATTTCAGGTGGTGGGTTTACAGTTTGTGCCTAATGCTTTCCTTCCTCATATGAATATCTCCCTGTACTCTATTCCATTAACTTGCACACATAGCTTTAGCCAATTGTATTCGATTTCCATAACATTTTTGTGTTCGTGGCATTCCGTGAACTATACTTCCTGACCTCGTGCACTTAGCTGGGATTTGTTTGTAAACAACTTATTACGTATGCTATTTAATGAAGGTTTATGTCACCGTTTCCTTATGCATTAATCGAGTTTTTCTCTTTCTCTTTTTCTCTCCCTTATTTCTTTCTCTCTCTCAAGTGATTGGCTGTTGTTTGATATCCCCGGTGTGGCTGCGCTTGATGTGCATGTTGACAAGGTGCCTACCTGTCTATTACCCACTACCTCGTCCATACTGGCTCCAGGAGACAGTTGGTCGTTGCTGGAGGGGACGGGGTGCACGGTCCTTGTGGCCGTGCTAGGCTCGAAGAGTGGTTCCATGCACTCAGTGTGGAGCGGACTACGGTCCAGCCACCGCCTTGTGTGCGCTTGATTCCCCAAATACAGCGTGCTTGTGTTTGCCTGTGAAGGAGTGTGGGCCGGCTCCGTTGATGAAACGTGGCTCCCATCCGCATGCCTCCCGGTCTTATTCCTTCGGGGTTTACACTGGATATGGGGTATGTGGTTGGAGCTGTGGGTGGTGCAGCGCAAGCCATCCATGGTCCCTCTGTAGGCGCAGGCGTCCTGTGGTTTGCCACAGTGACAGGCAAATCCGAAACCGGATGCCGCCAACCATGTATTTCTTTCATGTATTGCGGCACAATAGCGGAGGTGTTTTCCCACCTCTAGCTGATGTGTATAATAAATGAATGAATGAGATCTTGGGCATTTGTGTACATGCATGTGAGCTTCTCGGAGATTAAAAGTGTGTTAGTTTGGATGGATGAAGCAAATGAGTTTACGCCGACCAATAAAGGGTCGGCGACTAATCGTTTTTTGGGTGGGTTGCATACTCTCGAGAAGTATTTGATATATAAGCAGGTATCAGATGTTGCGGATCCCGGTGTTTGCTCGTGCTCTGCTGTGTCCCTCTGGATGGTATGGCTACTCTTGAAACCGTCCCCGAGTCGGGTCCTGTAGTTGGCGTTTTCATTAAAAGTTGTGCCTCTACTGAGTTGTCATTAGAAGGTGCTGGTTTTTCCTCTGCTTTCAGACGAATTTCTGTTAGCAATCTGCAGCGGAATTTAGTCCAGTTCTCTAGTAGGGTTTTTGCCGTTAGTTCTGACTGTAAAACAAGGTTTAACAGCCTGGGACCGCACCCCTTATAGTTTGGTGATATGGGGATCCTTGTCAACGAGGTGACCACGACATTTTCAAGAGAAAGAGCCTCCTTGATGTAGTGCCATTGCTCGCGGTCGTGCATCTGAGCATCATCGGAAGAGGAATCAGTAAGCTTGGGAACACAGTGAACAATCACTGTTTTCTTATCTTGATTTTTTCTGTACCTCTCTTTGTTAGCGAGATCCACTGAACGTTCTTTCCACGAGATTTCGGGTAGTATACACACTCCACTTGAGTCGTTGCGGAGACGATTTGCAGACAGCAGAACGGCCTCCGTCTCGTTCGCCGAGTTTAGTGTTACCCGAAGTAACTGGGGTTTGCCGTAGTGCAACGTGTTTGGGTGGCGCGAGATTCTTTTTAATGTCGTGGGGTTAGCATGGACACCGATCGACTTACAGATGGAGCCCCACTGATTTCGATCGTCCGTCAACTTACCATTAATTGTATTGGATTTGGATTCGGGGACATTTGTGCATACAATGTTTAGGGCACCATGGTTGCGCCTGGTGGCTACTGGTTTTGGATTTGGAAGCTTAGTATCCGGTGTTTTTGGTGAATTAATGAACGGCAGTGATGTGTGCCATCCATGCTGCGACACTTTAGTTTTCTTTAGTCCGGGCACAAAGGTTACCGGTACTCTTTCCGGTGTCTGTTTGGTGGCAACCGATGCGTACGTTGCCGGGTTGTTCACTATTGCTGGTTGACTGTAGCTTACAGTCTCGAGTGTAGCGAACAGACTACTAGGTGGAGCACACAGTACAGGAGTTGAGGCAGGCGCACTGCAACCAATGTTTTTACTTATAGGAGGGTGAGAGAATGGAGTTGATACTGCTGGAGGCTGAGTCGTTTGGGTTCGGTTGGAAAGCCTGGCTCGCTTCTTCGGCCTGACTAGGGAATTCGGGGTGTTATTTTCACTCACGAGTGCAGGTCCGTTTCCTCCCATGGGTGTAGCTCACCAGTTGCTCGACCGCTTCGGTTTGTCTTTCACACCTCTTCAGTAGCACAAATAGACAACTAACAAATGGGATAGAATTGCATACTTGGCAGAACCAAAACGCCTCTGCGGTGTTTGCTTTCGTGGATGGTCTTACAATCGACCGATGCTAAGCAGATCAGCCGGTAATTCGCCAACTCTTGTTGGTTTCCACTCTTTTATTTGGGCGTCACTGCCGTAGAGAAGAAGGACGGATGGAACCATCAACTGGTATACCATCAGCTTCTTCCCAACGATTAGCTCTTGCTCCTTCCGTACCCGATGTTCCGGTTTTTCAAATTCAGCAGCCACTTTCGATACACGGACACGAGGGTCGCACGTCATCTGGAGGTCGTAAGGAAGTACACTCCTCGATTGGCAAAACCTCGATTTTATCTCCGAAACTTCATCGCCAATCTGTATTTGCTACAGGCCGACGGATTCCATTCCTGGTGGAACCTGAAAAGGACAACTGATCTTGATTATATCTTACTGGTTGATCCCAGCTGCTCACAAGCCAGATTAGTCTAACCTCAATCCGAATAAGCACCCGACGATCGTTTCGCCATATTGGCGCTAGTCAGTGTTGCTCATTCACTCGGTCTCCTGCTGGGGATCGAACTCATGGCCGCAAGCAGTTTGCGTCAACTAACCAACTCATGCCACTGAGCCACGAGGGTCGGAGGCAGACCGTCTGAACTTGCAAGCTGACTAGGATATAGCAAAACCTAGCCTTATCTGCCATGCAGGTTGATACCGTTGCAGAGGACAGTGACTAGTCTTCGAGGTTACTACTTCTAGTACACAGTATCTATGTCCGCCTTATCTTGAAGAATGTGAGAGCGAAGGATTTGTGTTGATGGTGTACTCGAACTTGGCATCTGTCGAAGCGAGATCCGTTGTCACGCACTACAACTCATCCGCGCTGTGTGCAAATAACGCACAGTCGTCTGGGAACAGCAACCCACGGGTAGTTGGTTCACAGACTAGGGTTCTCGCAATGAAACGACGAACGTTCAGTAACCCATCATCAATAAGACGTTCCACACAAACACCGTAATCACAAGCACATGCAGCGCATTTACCAACGCGGTTCCACTGTGTTTCAATAGTTCAGGCGGGATCCCGTCGAAACCGACGCACTTGCCGTTTCGCAGCTGAGCAAGTGCTCTCTGCGTCTCATTTAGTGTCGATGTGTCGTCAGAATACATCTTCATCTCTTGTTGTTGCAGCCCGAGCAACACAGCCAAATCAATCTCCGAACGGTTTTTCAAGAGACAGTTGATTTACTTTTCTCAACTCTGCGTTATGTCTGCAGTCTGTGTACAGGCAGCGCCTGATATTGGATCGAGCAGCGTTCTCAGCGGCTGCAACGATGATGTATGCATCACCTACATGGGGTCAAAGAATTCCTTATGTTGTCGGCATCTGGCGTGACATTCTATCTGCCTCGCCTTCTGCGTCCACCATGCATTACTTATATATATATATATATATATATATATATATATATATATATATATATATATATATATATATATACGAAAAGTGGGAAAAATGGAATTACATTTCAGCGACACGAAAATACTGTTTCGCACGAACTAATGTGGATTTTGTGTTTTAGGAGTCAAAGGCTGGGGATCGGCATCAGTGACGTGCCCTCATAAAGGATGCAGTTGCACAAAAAGGTCTTGCTTTATGCGGAAAAGAAACGCAGATTGCGGAAGCGTCAGGCGCCGATCGAATCTAGCCCATTGTCGTAAAGCGCATGGTACGGTAGCACGGTAGTGCTTGAGCCAAGCCGGCTTAGCAAACCACCATCGTCGCCACGCAGAACCAACATCGAAAAGGCGACTAGCCAGTTGAATAGGGATTCACAATCACCGAAGCGCCTGGTGAGTGCGCTACTTCCGATGCAATTCCGTTTACCAACCCAGGTTCGTAATGCGGTCGATGTGGTACCTGCTCTACATCATTGCCGCAGTTGGTCTGTACGTGTGCTTACCTCCGTGTTGAGTTTCTTGTGTTTCAGGTGTTGACTATTGATTGATATCCCTATTGGAGTTGCGCTTGATCTAAATGATGTCAGCGTGCCGAGCTGTCGCAAAAAAGCTGCTTTGAGTATATTGTCTCCAGGAGATAGTAGGTAGTTCCTTGGGGAGACCGAGTGCACAGTCCTCGTGACCGTGCTAGATCCAAAGAGCGGTTCCAGACATCCTGTGTGGAGCGGACTACAGCTAAGCCACCGCCTTGTGTGCGTCAGGTATGCTCGAAAGCTGTTGCTGTGCGTGTTGCAGGAGTGTGGGCCGGCTTCGTTGATGAAACGCGGCTCTCAAAGACTTGCCGACCTTATTCCTTCTGGTTTACAATGTAGATGTAGCTCTGAGGGGTGTAACGTAAGCCATCCATGGTCCCATAGCAGGCGTAGACGCCCTGTGGCTGTGTTATGGAGACCACGGTGACACACAAATCCGGAATCAGATACCGATATATATATGGCAAAATGTAAACGCATACGGGGAAATTTGGTGCCGGCCTGACGTGACGCGAGCGCCTTGTCACCCGAACGATGACACATTTCATTACAGGGATGCGATTGATGATGCCTCAGGACACCAGTTGCGAGATAGTATGAAGTTGGCTCAATGTAACAATGGTATATTACGGGTAAAAAGGCGGATGCTTAGCAAGTCCCGTAGGATGGCCAGAAAAAGAACCTCGATATGGTGAATAGAAAACAATGATCAAATGACAGTCGCTTCTGTGAACTCACCACAGTGTTAACACAGAGGTATGCAGAAAGGGACAACCTCGGTCGTGTAGGTTAATTCTTGTTGCGTAAATTTTGTCGCACTATATCGTCTATCGAGACGCAGAGGCTGTCTCTTAGTGTAGGTGGGTTAGGGCAACGTCAAGGCGTTGTTCAGACACAGGTAAAGTGGGTGCGGAACCAACGTAATTTTGGAGGGCGTTCCATGGCTGGGACACACGAGGAGAGTAAAAGTTCCTTCGACATCCTAGCCGACTGTATTGTGTGGCTAACTTGAACTGGTGTCCCCTCAAAGTCGTGTTGTCGTTTAGTCGTAGTGGGTGGCGGTAGAGGTGGCTGGGGTTCCTTAGAATCTGCTAAGCCATAATAAGGTCGCCACGTAGGCGCCGGTACCTGCCGCTGTATAATTTAGGGTCCTCAGTCTAAGTTGATGCAGATGATAGAACAACCCTTTGGCGTGCTTCGTGGCTCGTCGCGGTGAAGTCTCGAGCGCTGCCAGGTCTTGCTTGTGCCAGGGCTGCCAGGCCTGGATTGCGTATTCCACGCGTAGGTTCTAAGCAACTGCGAACAGCCAGAGGGATCAAACCGCCCAAATGCCCTCTGCAGTATATCAACATGTTGGTTCCTAGTCCTTAACGCCTTCGCAGATTGTTCTGAGCAGACCAGCTCAGCCTGGACTAGTACCCCAAGGTCGCGCTCCTGGATGACTGCTTGCAGGACATGGTCTCGAAGCTTGTATGTGATGTTCGGCTGGTAGCGAATGTGAACCACCTTACACTTCCTCGAATTGAACTGGGGCAGATTGTGGAATGACCACCTATACGCTCTGTCCAAGTCTCGCTGAAGTGCATCGTGATCTGCTATGTCGGCGATCGTTCGCGACATCTTAACACCATCAGCGAACAACGAGAAATCTGAGGCAAGCAAACGCATAAGCTCGTAGATGAACACGAGAAACAGACGCGTCCCCAGAACTGATGCTTAAGGAACTCCACATTCGACATAAATCGGATTGGACAGCGCACTTCGAACTGTGACCTGCAGCTTCCGATCCTGCAGGAAATTCCTGATCCACCCAAGGACAGGATCACCATCTCCATAGCTTTCGAGCCTGTGAAACAGAATACGGTGGGCCAGTCAGTCGAAGGCTTTGAAGAAGTCAAGGTAAAGGACGTCTGTCCTTCTACCTTTATCGGCTGCCTCTGTCCAACTACTGCGTGCGAACAGTAGGTTGGTAGTACATTACCGGTGCTAGTGGAAACCGTGTTGCTCGGGTGTTCTGCTTTTGTGGCCTTCTTGGTGGTTTACTAAGGCCTCAGCGATGACTGCTTCCATCACCTTTGAGGGCACATGGATGAGGACCACTAGGCGATAGTTGCCGGGTTCCGAGCAAATACCGCTTTTGAAAACTGGAGTGATTAAGCCCTATTTCCACATAGTAGGAACAATTTGCTTGTCCAATCACGTTTGGAAGTAATGCGATAACGGCCTGACATACGTTGTTGCTGCTAAGTTTAGCACCCTTGTACGTGCGTAGTGAGAGCAGTTTCTTCAACACAGCTGTGTCAGTAATAACGATGGTAGTAAATGTTGAAGTTAGGGATAGGGATGTGTGTATGTAACAGGGCCAGACGTCTCTTTGAAAGGTTAGGGTATACTGCATTTGTAAGGCGTTGGCTTCCACTTTAGCATCCT